CTCTTACTTATTTATTTACTCATTCGCAATTTGTATCATTTAATCCGTGCATCACATAAATCACTGTCAATCACCGTGAGTTGCGCCGCCCCTGCCTACCTTTTAAATCCGACTCATGGTACGTCAACTATTTTTATTAGTAACTCAAAAAGTAAGCGTCAGACAAAATTTTGCCAAATAAAAAGGTGTCTTAGAATTTAGTCAAAAATATGTATTTTCAAAGATAACGGGTTGTTCTGAATCACCCTGTATATTTTGAGGTGCTGAATCCAAATCTGAAGTCAAAATAGGGGGTTTCCTAGATCGATCTTCTTTAAATTGCGTTTAATCATCAAAAAATCCTGGAAATCAGGGAAAAGCATTCAGATAATCTCGTTAGGGTGAGCCTACTAAGGAGATGGAGAGACGATATCAAGGCCGATAGGACATAAATATGATGGCGGACTTCTGCTGGACGTTAAGGAGAGACATAACTCCAAAAAGAAACAAACGTAAAAAAAAGTCTTACGCAGATCTTTCAAGGATAAAAGTACGTAAACGAGCAAAACATTAAATAAACTACTTACACAAATAAAGTTCGAGCTAAGTGATTTACTTGACGACAAAAGGCCCACTTTATCGCCTCCGGTGTAGCTGGCTTGAGGTACTTGAGTTACTTGACAACGAAAAGCCCACTCGATTGCCTGTTTCGGATGTAACTGGCTTGCGGTACTTAGTTTACTTGAAAATAGAAGGCTCATTTGTTCTGTCTGTAGTCTCCGGTGTAGTGATCTTGGGTATGTGGTTAACTTGACAACGAAAGGCTCACTATAACGATCTCGAGATTATTCGAGATATCTCGAGATTATTTGAATGCTTTTCCCTGGTTTCCAGGATTTTCTGATGATTAAACGCAATTTAAAGAAGATCGACCTGGGAAACCCTTTATCGTGACTTCAAATTTGGATTCAGCACCTCAAAATACGTAAGAAAACATGTTTCCCATTTCGAGTTCAGAACATTGTGTTGTGGGCCTGTGGTACTAAAAACTCAAGGTAAGAAAAGTTTACTTCCCATGACCAATTTTATAAAAGTGCTCGTAAATATCACATGTCATTTTTAAGAAAAGCTATTTCGTACACGTTACTAACACAATAGTAGCAACTTAGAATATAAAACAGAATAGTTTCTAAGATTTAGTAAGCAAGATAATAGCAGTTTGACAATTAACTCCGTGTCACAATGTGTCCCGGTCTCCCCTATGAAAAAAATATGTATTCATAAAAAATAAATTTTATTACGTAAACAGTTATAATTCAATAATTTAAAGAAGTAATTCCAAATAAATTCAGAAATGTCAGAAATTTAATATGCCTGAAGAAAAATTGGAAAAATATAACTGATGTAACATTAAAATATGCAAAAGATATGTATAAATACTTTTTATCAAGAATTGCTAACTTTCTAAGAACAGCACATTCGTTTCCAAATATTTGCATTGCATTTTGTACATACGCATCGTTACCATCAACTTTCACAAGTTACAAACAAAAATATAATATAAATTTACAATTATGGAAAATTGACAATTATAAATTAAAAAAATATAGAATTGAAAGGTTAATGTTTGAATTCAACGGCCGTGTAGAGCCTATGCAAGATGTTGTGCAATAATTGAGCATACTCAAGTTATGTTTCAAAACGTTTTGACTTTATTTTAAGTCCTTATCAATTGAATCTAATTATAATAGAAAAGTAATTACAGATAACATTCAACCATTCAAAAACTTGAAACATTACAAAAAATAAATAGAATCTAATTTACATACCTAAAACAATGGTGTATTTGTTCACATGTTATAAATTGATATAAAAATGTTACAAAAATATGTTAGAGTATCGTTTCAAGCATCAAGACATACTTGTTCAAGCGTGCAATCGATACTGAGTCTAAGAAATAGGATCGAACAGGAAAAGAATCAACGCTCCCTCTATATGTTAAAATCGTACTTTGTCAAGTATAGGGATGTACGTATCATGTAACGCTTCAGTGTCTCTCATAAGATTCAATCCTTGCTCTTGCTTTTTAATATGTAACATTTCTGAAGTTTGTCTTTTGTGATAATTTTGTTCTATGTCTAATATTTTGACCGAATTCCATTCAAAATTATGTCCAGTCTCAATACTATGCTTGGCAACTACTGACGTGTCAACTTGTCCATTCCTGACATAATTGATGTGTTCTTTAATTCTAGTCATCAATTGTCTTTTAGTTTGCCCTACATATGATGATGTGCAATGTTGACAAGAAATGCGATAGACAACATTTTTTTGTTTGTTGAATGGAACTGGATCTTTGTGTGTTTTAATATATTTTGATAACTGGTTTAGATTACGATACGCAGGATTAATCTTTTTGTTATTGATTTTGATATGCTCTAACTTATTGTTATGATTGTAAATGTAAGGCAATACAAAAAAGAATTTTTTCACATCATCATCTTCCTCTGTAGAATTAGTGATATGTTTATTTAGTTTATTTGTAAACAACACTCTTGATCTCCTATTAATGGTTTTGAATATGAAATGTATTGGATAATTATTTATTAAAATGTTGATAATGAAATTTAAGTTTTTATTGTGGAATTGAATATCTGATAAAAAGATGGCTCTATCAACCAGCGAATAAACTGTGCCTATTTTATGACTGAGTGGATTCTGTGAGAGATAATTTAAATAACGGCCAGAATAAGTTGGCTTGTGGTACCAATCGCAAATCAACTTATTGTTGTCAACTATGATTAAAATATCTAAGAAATTAAGAGCATTGCTTTCGTGCAATCGTGTGTGGAACGAATTGAAAGTTTGTACTACTAAATCTTTTTTCGCGGCAGGTATTGCCATTATAACAGTATCTACATATCGTAAATAAAGAGGAATGTTGAATTTCAGCTTGTTCAATGCTTTAAGTTCTAGGTCTTGTAAGACTAAATCTGCTATAATAGGAGATAGTGGAGAGCCCATTGGAGTGCCAAAAGTCTGTTTGTATGTCTTATCATTAAAAGTAAAATATGTGGATGTTAAAATAAATTGCACAGCTATTATAAATTCATTTTTTGTGATTTTTGTATTTAGTTTAATGTATTTCCATCTGGAGAAAATACTTTCAATAACCAAATCAATCGGTACGCTAGTGAACAAAGACACCACATCAAGAGAACAAAGAATGTGATCATTCGACAACTCAATTCCTTTCACAGAATTTATAAGCTGAAAACTATTCTTTATGAAGAACGGAGAATTAGGAATACTTTTAAAAATGATTGGGGACCTAAGTCGTCTACAGACGATTCCGAGTCTCGACATCGAACTTGCGATACCCATGATCGACCGCTATAACCACGACGCAACGCCGCGCTCGGTGAGATCCCGAACACGCGGGCGCGTAAGCGCCGCACGGCAAACCGGGCTCGTGCGACGACGGGGAAAAAGTCCCGCCGCCTAGTAGTGTCACATTGTTTTGAGCCTTTCGACTCACGAGACTCCTAGAGATATCATTGCCACCTTTAACTAGAGAGGATACGGCCTTAGAGGCGTTCAGGCATAATCCCACGGATGGTAGCTTCGCACCACTGGCCGCTTGACCGAGTGCGTGAACCAAATGTCCAAACCTGCGGTTCCTCTCGTACTGAGCAGGATTACTATCGCAATGACCAGTCATCAGTAGGGTAAAACTAACCTGTCTCACGACGGTCTTTTAAAAATGATCTTATGTAAAAATATAGCAAATGAATGTAACGGACTGTTAATGGTAGAAACTATTATTCTGAAAGGAACACCTTTTTTATGGATTTTAGGTATACCATATACTCTAGGGAGTAACGAATCGCTAGGATTTAGAATAAATTTAGTATGTTGGTTAATAAATCCATTATTGTATTATCTATTTAAAATGTCCTTGAGTTGTTTAACTATTTTTACTGAATTGAAAGGCTCTAAAGGTCCTAAACTAGAAATATATAGACGGTCATAAACATCGTTTGCTGGATGTTGTTGCGGAAATATGCGTGTATACAGGATGTCCGACAAGTACTTTAGCATCTCTCGTAGACAGATAGGAAGAGTAAAATTGAGTCAAAAAGTCCTGAACTAATTTTTACTCTTACATATTGGGATCTTGAATAAGTTCTCGCTGTTTTTTCGTGAAAATTAATACTTTATTTTTTTTAAATCGTAAAACACATGTCACTGAAAGTATTGCCTATCGCTAGCCACTACTTTTTTCTATCTTTCTTGCAGCATTTGAATTCCACGTCGGAAAAACGACACGTCTGATGAGACTCCAAAAATTGACCCATTTTTTGGCATCTTTATAAGAATGGAAGTGCTGCTCAGCCAGGCCATGTGCCATCGATCGGAACAAGTGATAATCGGAAGGGGCAATGTCTGGTGAATACGGCGAGTGGGGTAGGACTTCCCATTTAAGTGTTTTTAAGTAGGTTTTCACCGGTTGGTCAACATGTGGCCGAGCGTTGTCATGTTGCAAAATCACTTTATCGTGTCTCTGCTCGTATAGCGGCCATTTTTCCTTCACTGCTCGGCTCAAACGTATCAATTGTAGTTGATAGCAATCTCTCGTGATGGTTTCGTTCGTTTGAGCAGCTCATAATAAACTACACTCAGCTGATCCCACCAAATGCAGAGCAGAAACTCTGAACCATGAATATTCGGCTTCGCCGACGATGTTGATGCATAGCCGGGCTTACTCCACGATCTTCTACGCTTAGAGTTATCGTAGTGTATCCACTTTTTATCGCCAGTCACGATACGATGCAACACACCTTTTCTTTTCTGCCGTTAAAGCAGCTGTTCACACGTGAAAAGACGCCGTTTGACGTCTCTCGGCTTCAACTCGTACGGCACCCAATGTCCTAGCTTTTGAATCATTTCCTTTTTTTTCAATACTTTCAAACGTTTCGAAACTGTTGTGCCATCTACTCCTAATGATTTTGCAAGTTCAGCTAGCGTCTAACATGAGTCTTCGTGAAGTAATGCCTCCAATTCTTCGTCTTCAAACTTTTTCGGTGCGCCAGAGCGTTCTTTATCTTTAACATCAGAATGATTATTTTTGAAGCGTCTAAACCAATCTCTGCATGTTGTTTCCGACAGAGCATGGTCGCCGTAAGTTTCAACAAGAATTCTGTGTGCTTCAGCTGCAGATTTTTTTTGAATAAAATAGTGCAATAAAATTCCCCGCAAATACTCTTTTTTTGGCACAAAATTCGACATGTTTAACACTATAAAAAAAAAGTTGTTTACACTTTGGCAAAATGACATACACTGAATTTCAAGCTTGCCTATGGTACTTCCTTATAGATGCGTTACCATCTTAAACTACACGCACGCAGTTCTGATAACGCCATCTGTTGAGAAACAGCGAGAACTTATTCAAGATCTCAATATAATAAAGGAGTAATTATAGAATAAATCAAGCCAATCAGCGCTGATCTTTAGCCGAACGCACGTCAGCGAAGGAAAGACACAGATGCGCACAGAATCAAACGAACACGACAGAGTGTATCAATCGGACACAGACTCAATCGGACACAAGAAGAAACGGACACACGACAGACTCAATCGGACACGCTTTCAATTGGACACAGTCACAATCGGACACATTTTCCGATATCATGTATATTTCACGAGTAAATAGTTTGTTTGCATTCCACATTATTGTACACGTACACGAGGGGCTCCATCTCTCTTCCTGCACCACCTCCCTGAAAATCTTTACCCTAACCTAACCTAATCTGTGTTACTATTACCATTACTTGTCACGATGCACATTGCTTCTTACTTGTGTCCGATTTCGATTGTGTCCGATTAAGACTGTGTCCGATTGCGTCTGTGTCCAATTAAAACTGTGTCCAATTACGTCTGTGTCCGATTGGGAATGTGTCAGATTATGTCTGTGTCCGATTGAGACTGTGTCCGATTGAAACTGTCGTGTCGGTTTCAACTCGTGTTTGATTGAATCTGTGTCCGATTGAAACTGTGTCCAATTACGTCTGTGTCCAATGGGAACTGTGTCCGATTACGTCTATGTCCGATTGAGACTGTGTCCGATTGCGTTTGTGTCCGATTGAGACTGTGTTCAATTACATCTCTGTCCGTTTGCGACTGTGTCCGATTGCGTCTGTGTCCGATTGAGTCTGTCGTGTGTCTGTTTCTTATTGTGTTTGATTGATACACCCTGACGTGTTTGATTGTTTCTGTGCGCATTTGGGACTTACCCGTCAGCAAACCACGCGCCTGATGTGCGTGAGCGCTCCGCGCGGCTCATTGACGTGCGTTTGGCTAAAGGTCGGCGCTGATTGACGTGATTTATTCAATAATTACTTTTTTATTTGTATGTAATAGAAGAAAATGGTTCAAAACTTTTCGACTCAGTTTTATTTCTTCTACCTGCTTACGAGAGATGCTAAAGTAAGTGTCGGACACCCTGTATATATCCGCAACAACATCCAGCGAACGGTTTTTATAATCGCGTTTATATATTTCTAGTTATGAAAAATTACTTTTGTTCTACAATAAGTCTAAAATAAGTACAAGAACTGTTACATGTTACACAATTTTTTCTTGTTATTAAAAACAATTTGTATTAAAATGATTGGTACATAAGTAAGTTTATTTTTCTTAAGTAAACTCTGTTAAAATATCATTAATTCGCAAATTCTGTTACAATTTTGCTAGATGATTTTGTAACAAACAATTTCGTGACAATATCATTGATTTGTAGTGAAAGAATGCCTCTCTTAAAGTGAATCAGTAACAATTTCACTGATTGATTCAGTGGCAGGTTAGTTTAATCGGAAATTAGTGAAAAGTTAGCTGATTGCTTTAGTAACAAATAGTTTCACTGGGAATCAGTAAGAATATCACTGAATTAACATATTAGTAATAATTTTGCAATAATTGCTTCTACACAATGGCTGAATTGATATTACCACTACTAATAATAGTAATCATAATTGATATTATGACTACTAATCCTACAGTGCCAGATATGGAAAACTCCCTTAAAAGTTTTAAAGTATCTCTACTAGGTATTAATTTAGCGTGACATCTGAAAACCTTTAGAGCCTTGAACAATGGTAGAAGTCGTTGACAGCGTTCTTCGTTTATTAGTTTTGCAAAGTTTGAATTTTGAAGTGCAAAAAGGGTCTAAGAGACCCAAGTCTGGACAAGACGGTATTTCAAAAAGTAAATACATTGTTTTCAGTTTGAGTACTTCTTATATATTAAAAAATTGTTAGTTTTTTTAAATAATTTTATCAAAATATGTGTACATTTATAGCGATTTATTAGGTCATAACGCGCAGAAACGTTTTAAACGCTTCTTTAAAACTACTAGACATTTTTTCAATTTGTTTTTTTATCGACGCAGAATTGTTTAACTTTTCTATTTAAAAAGAATATCTAAATATTAATTTATCGCTACAATATTGCATGTCAAACTGGGCACTAAAAAAATGCATTCTTAAAATAACATTCCAAAAACCCATTGTGAAAATGGTTTTAATTTTACAATTTTTAGAAGACACTTTTGTTACTGAATGTACAAACAATTACGTACAAAACCGCGTTAAATTTTGTAAAAATCTTAATTACACAAAAAGTTAGGAATTTGTAAACAAACAACCTTTTTTTCAAAAAAATCGTCAGGTGTTTCTTTAAACGCTTATATCTTCAAAAGTACTAAGAAGTTTTTCAATCTGTTTCTTTTGGTCGACGCAGAATTGATCAATCTTTCGATTAAAACAAAAAAAAAGAAATTGAACAAATATTGATTTATTGCGGAGATATTCGAACTTAAAATTATATGGATTCCACAGACTTAGTCTAGACAACTCGTAAGTCATTTTTTATGTTTGGCACTGAAGAGTTAATAATAGTAATCAGAGAGATACAAGTTCGAGTACAATGAAGATAATTTCTAGCTAAGTAGATGTTTTTCTAAATTATATTAGAATAACATAAAGAGTACTTAAGAAAACTTATTTAAATACATTAATTATAAAAAGAAATAAGTTTTTTATAATATAAATTGTTTTAAAAGTTTTATTTATTGATTGAATTGTTTTAAAAGTTGTATTTATTGATTAAGTTGTATTTATTGATTGAATAAATATTTATTTGACCAGTAAAAGTGATCTAACTAAATGAATTAATGATGGAGACTAATTTTCAGTAAAAAACTTAACTATCTAAATAATTAGTAATTAATTAGTAATAATTAGTAATTAATTATTAAATATTCACTAATTTTCAGGAAAATGCACTGATTCTACAGTAATAAGTAAACATTTATGAAATAAATGTCAATTAAAGTTTAAATAATGGAAGTTAAATAATAATGTTGTCTTAATTAACTTCAATAAAAGTTATACGCGCAAGAAAAATTTTACTTTGTTAAGAAGTCTGTTTTTCTTTTTTTTTATATATATATATATATATAGAGACCGACCTCCTAGCCAACAATCACTACTAATTGCAAAAAGTGGCATTAAAGTAAAAACATTTTTCTTTCCCAAAAACCTAAATTGTTTTCCTAAATTCAGACTTGATATAAATGATCCTGAATAAATAATATGTAATTCTGGAAAAATAAGATCTTGATTGACCATCAAATTGTTGCATTTATACAGGAGTCATTTGAATTAATACAGAGTAGTTATAAATCAAGAGGCACGGTAGTGCCTCGTGCCAAGTTCACGCGCAATGAAGTCGCGCGCGAACGGTGCGAGAACTCTGTGCCTTTATTAAGCGAAAAATAAATATTTTTGACATTTTGAAAAATGAAATAATCTTATTTCAGTAATAACTTAACCGATCGACTTTTTTTAGTCTCACGCGATTCGGATTGAAAAAATTGACAATAAATATTTGTGTTTTTCTTTTCTGTGTCTTCTGTTCAAAGATATTTTATGATAAAGTCTGAATTTGTTGAAATTCACATATAAAAATTTTTCGTCGGATCAAATATATATAGCACAATTGTGCAACTTCATAGGTTCCGACAACAGATGGCGATGCGAGCACGATAGTTTTAAGTAAAGAGAAAGGAAAACGAGAACTGTGAGTTAGAGAAAGAAAGAGAAAATCAAAAAGCACAATAATATCACGCAACAAAGTCGTAGGGGAGACCGGAGCTAGTTATGACACGGGGTTAGTTGTCAAACTGCTATTATCTTGCTTACTAAATCTTGGAAAATATTCTTCTTTTTATTGTAAGTTGCTACTAGTTGTGTTAGTAACGTGTACGAAAGAACTTTTCTTAAAAACATTATATATGATATTTACAAGCACTTTTGTAAAACTGGATATGGCAAGTAGATTTTTCTGATCTCGATTCTTTAGTAATTTCATTGGTTTTAAAATTTTTAATTGCAATTTTATCTTATGTATAGGAAATATGGTAGTTTTAAATAAGTTTTCCTATATTTATTTAATCGTCATCGCATCGCAGTTTATAAATATAATATCTTTTATTTAAAATGAACGTTTGGGATAAGTTGACTCAAATTGAGACGGGATAAGTTGTCACACGNTGAGCATGNGCGAAGAAGTAATCGGAGTGATCGTTATGTGTCGTTATAACTTTTTCAGTACCTGTCATTGTTTTTTTTTTATTAAAGATTAGATTACTAATTATGTTTTATAGAGTTTTTAACTGATTTAATATTGTGAAATCATTTAAACTTGTTTTATATATATATATGATTATTAATATTGTATAAATACTTTATACTTAAACGTATAATGTTATGTACTCTCAATAAATTTAAGAAAATAAAAAACAGAAATTTTATATCTTGTTGTTTTTCTGTATAAAAGACATGTGACAATTAACCCTGGGGATGGGGCAGGTTGACAAATCTGCGCGATTGTACTTAACATTAAAATACTCTTTTGTGTAAAGATATATAAGAATAATATTTGTTTTTTCTTAAAGCTAAAGGATGTGACTATTATATAATGTACCCAATATTACATAATATTGCGTACATTTTTTTTTTGTACAATCTATTTTGGATGTTACTTTGTGCCCCGGTCTCCCCTATAGCTGTCAACAAGAGTGACAGTTGTATACAAAATGTATATTTTGATGTGTATGAATACAAAATGTACAATAAACTAAACTATATATATG